TGTTGAAGTGTTGGCTTAACCTTCAGGGTTAAGGGTTCAGGGATTTAGGCTTTAAGCGTTAGGGTTTCGGGTGCCGTCTGGGATTTAGCCTTTAGGATGGGAGGTTTTGGGCCTGCGAGGTCTCAGGCATTTCAAGCGATTACTCGTAGGTCTCGGGCGGGAAAGTGGCTGAAATCCCTCAACCTTCAGGATCTGGCAATGATTAACTTGGGCTTAGGGTTTAGGGCTTAGGGCTTAGGGCTTGGGGCTTGGGGCTTAGGGCTTAGGGCTTAGGGCTTAGGTTTAGGGTTTAGGGTTTAGGGTTTAGGGTTAAGGGTTTAGGGTTTAGGGTTTAGGGTTTAGGGTTCGTCGTTGCAATGCCGCAATGCTCCCGAATTGGACGTATGGGGTCCGAATGTCGCTCCACGATTCCCAAATTTTGCACGCGAATTTCCTATTATCCAGGCTTAGGGTTACCAGAAAGGGAGTAAACGGTTCTGGGATTTCAGGTACACAGGGAGGCGCAGGGTGTGTGGCTTTCATATTCAACGGGATCAAGGCTTATAGTTTCAGGATGGCAAGGGGCTTATAGTTTGTAGGGCTGAATTATAGGGCTTATGGGGCGTGTAACGCTTAGAAGATGTAAGGTTCACGGCTGATGTGGCTTAGGGTTTGACCTAATTTGCCAGCAAATAAGACCCTGAACGCACTTGCATTCTGGGCTCAAAGCCCTACAACGGCAAGCTTTAAGAAGAACCACGTCCCTAAAACCCTAAACCCTAAACCCAAAAACCCTAAAGCACACTTGGTGACCTCCCAGACTTCCCCTTTGCTCGACGCAGGGCGCCGGCAAGAGGTCAGCGTGATGGAAGAGGAGACTGCCTGAGTTTAGGGTTTGGGGTTCAGGGTTTAGAGTCTTTAGTTGAGGCTTAAGGTTTATGACGTCGGGCTTGGAACTGAGGGCTGGGGGGGGGATTAAAGGCTTAAGTATTAATTAAGGGTGCAGGGACTAAAGGAGAGGGGCTACCCAGGTACACAGGGACTGTATAAGGTATTTGTAGGGGTTCTATAGGGGAATAGGACTGGGTTTGGGGGATAGGTTTCACCCTTTAAGTAGGGTGTACAGAGCGGTGGCCCTGGGGGCTAAACCGAAAGACCCTACAAGAAACTAAAGCCCCCAACGGTCTGCTCAAGCGTTTAGGCTTCAGCGTTAGGCTTCTGGGTTGAGCAGGGCATTCATTTTTCGAGGCTCTAGGCCTCTGGCGCGGACTTGAGGGTTCAGGGCTTGGCTGCAAGGCCAGGGCTTAGGGTTCAGGGCTTTCTGTTGAAGCGTTAGGGCTTAAGCTTCAGGGTGAAGGGTTCGGGGATTTGGGCTTTGAGCCTTAAGGTTTAGGGTGGCCCTTTGGGGTTTAGCCTTTAGGGTGGAGGGTTGTGGGCTGCGTTGGGGTTTCAGGCCTTTCAACCGATTAGGTGATGAGGTCTTTGGGCGGGAAAGTGGCTGAAAGCCCTCAACCTTCAGGATCTGGCAATGATTAACTTGGGTTTATGGGTTGGGGTTTGGGGTTCGTCGTTGCGGTGCCCTAAACCCCAAACCCCAAACCCCAAACCCCAAACCCCAAACCCCAAACCCCAAACCCCAAACCCCAAACCCCAAACCCCAAACCCCAAACCCCAAACCCCAAACCCTAAACCCTAAACCCTAAACCCGAATTGGACAGCTCGTGGTCCCAATGTCGCTCCACGACTCCCAAGCTTTGCACGCGAAGTTCCGATTGTCCAGGCTTAGGGTTGCCAATCAGAGAAAAGGGCTAGCATAGGCTTTGGTTTAGGGTTCAGAACAGGCTACAAGGTTTAGGGTTCAGGGGTAGATTCCCTGGTTCAAGGGTAGATTCCCTACGTTGTGATCTCTTCAAACTCTTGGGTATTGTACTTGTTGCATTACGGACCCTTGTATTCAGGGTACCCGGACCAGAATTCTAGCAAACGGTTCTGGGATTTCAGGCACACAGGGAGGCGCAGGGTTTGGTGTCGTCATATTTGAAGGGATCAAGGTTTTTAGTTTGTAGGGTTTATAGGGCTTATGGGGGGTGTAACTCTCGAGTTCCCGGCTAATGTGGCTTAGGCGTTGAACCAAATTTTGCCAGCAAATAAAACGCTGGACCTCCCTTTTGCTCGATGCAGGGGCGCCCGCGGAGCCCCTGGTCGCCGCGTCAGCGTGACGGAGGAGGAAACTCACCTGAGTTTAGGGTTTGGGGTTCAGGGTTTATTAAGGGGTAACCGCTAGAAGGGACCCTTAATCTTATTCCCCTATTTAAGCTCTATATACACCTTATATAGTCCCTATATACTTAAGTAGCCCCCAAAAAAACCCCAAATAACCCCTAAGGTCCCTTAGAAGGGCCCCTCCTTGAGTCCCTTGAGTTTAGGGTCTTTAGTCTGAGGCTTAAGGTTTAGGGCTTCGGGCTTGAAATGGAGGGCTTGAGTTGGGGTGTTGGAGCCTTAGCCCGCAACCCATGATCAATTTTTGGGGGGTTGTTAAGGTTGAAGGGTGAAGGGACTATAAAGGGGGCTACTTAGGCATGTCGGGTCTTTTTTGTACCCCTTATATCCCTTAAAGGGACTGGAAAAGGTGTGTGTGTGTATATATATATAGGGGTTAGGGGCCCTTCTACGGGTCCCTCCTTAGATCCCTTTATAGGTGTAGGGGCGCGTGGAGGCTCCCAGAGCGGTGAGCGCTTAAGTGTTGCGGCTTGTTGGGGTTTAGGGCTTAGCGGGTTAGGGTTTAGGGTTTAGGGTATAGGGATTGGGGTTGAGGGTTGAGGGTTGAGGGTTGAGGGTTGAGGGTTTCTGGCAACAAAGCTTCGCGGGACTGGATGTTTTCAGAGTTGGACCGTCTACCTGCGCCCCCCCCCTTTTCTCCCCTTGAAAGGGCACCTTGGAGGCCTGCAGTTGTCGTAGGGATTTTACGGCTTGGAGGGGGGCTAACCAAGAACACCAAGGCTTCCGGCCCAAAAAAGCCTTGACCTGCTCTCAATCCTATTCCGCGCAACCGACACAACTCTCAAGCCCCAAAGCTCCTGGTGCAGAGGCGACGGGCGCTCGCAAGATTGCCGGCTGCACCTGGAGAGGAGGGCTTGGGGTCAACTTGTTTCTGTTCTCTTCCAGTGGAATTCGTAAACTTTGGAAAATGATGCCGGCGCCTCTTGTTTGCAAGTAGGGCGGGTGTTGCCAAAGCAAGAAGTTCGTGCTTGTGCGTTTCTTCGGGATTCTGCGAGCGCTGTCACCTGCAGCTATCGTACGTGAAAAGCCGCAGAAATGAACAGCCCGAGAATCCTGAGAGCCTCCCTAAATCCCTTATGTACCCCTGACGCGCCTCAGACCTCTTGGACTCTGAGCCACAGTTTTCTTCTTTCAACCCTGTAGGGGTACATGAAAAAAAAGAGTTCGCTGTCGCAAGCCGACCCCTCAATGAAGCTTGGACCTGAACCCTACTCATAATTCCCCCCCCCCCCCCACCACAAAAAGAATGATCGTACCAGGATGGCTGATCGCAGCTGCTTGAAGTTCATCGGGAGCCGTGAGGTCGTGGCCAAGGTGGGGCATCCTCTTAAGTCTCACCCAATCATGCCAGGCCTCCCTAAACCCTAGACCCTAAACCTTAAACCCTATAAAACCTACACCCCTTAAGTTGCATGGGAGGTGGGCTTTGGGTCTTGCGGTCACGGCTCCTGCCCCCTGCTTCTTGCGAGTCAACCTTGGGAGAGAACGATGGCAGGAGCTTTGTGGGAAGAGCCTTGACAAACCAGGCAGACTAACAACGGTTTAGGGTTTAGGGCTAGGGTTTAGGGTTTAGGGTTTAGGGTTTAGGGTTTGGGGTTTAGGTTTTAGGGTTTAGGGTTTAGGGTTTAGGGTTTATATAGGGTCTAGGGTTTAGGGTTTCGGGCAATGGCCGGCTGGTCTAAGATATGATGCGCAGACCCAGCCGAAGAGGCAGCGATTAGCGATATCAATATCGTTTCGATGTCGACACATAAAATACTGTCGAAACAGCCATGGAAATTCGATCCATAGCCCAACATGCTCAACCCCAATCGAAGAGCTGAAGCCTTAAAGTCACATTGAAGGCAAAGGTCCTGACGGAGGCCGCCATTGCGTCTTTGGAGCTGGTGGTCCCGAAGGCCCGCTGCGCGAAGCGCTTGAAACAGGGCCCCCCCCAGAAGTAACATTGGGGTCGCAAAAACTACTAGTAGTATTCCCTTACGGTCCCTGTACTAGTATACTATAGTAACCCCCAAGACTGGATTCTAATTATTAACGCCCCTACATTACGCAACTGACACAGGAGCTGAGGGTTTGTACAAAGGTTCAAGGCTCGCGCCAAGGATCCGCAAGAGTCTCGGAAGCTGTAGTGGAAATAAATGTCGTCACACCCTCCTTAACAAGTGCCATGGCAGGAACCCTTTGCAATCCTTGCAGATATAACTGCGAAGGCTCCACGCGGTATATGCAATGAAACAAACCATGTTGACAGCAAGCATTTGACCGAACTTTAACGCTGAGACTTTGCCCGAGTTTCTTTTTGGTGCTGCCGTGATGGGCTGCCACGGTTTTCAAGCCAGGGGCACCCAACCAAGAACGATAGCAGTCGATGGAAGCTGAAGTCGTGAACTGGGGACTCGGCCTTGAAGACCTTCTCACCAGACCCTCGGCTTGGGTCGATCCCAACTGGTTCACCCTACACCTTATACACCCAGGGTTTAGGGTTTAGGGTTTAGGGGCCCCCGAAACGCAACAACATGTATGAGCTTGAACAGTTTTTGTTTGAGGGCCAGCCCCCGGCCCAGCGGGCTTCTGTAGGCGGCTTGCCCAGAGGCTCCATAGATTCCGTAGATTCGATCTACTCCATGGCAGGATGAAGCCCTTCAGATCATTGGCCAGGGAGGCTCAGGTCCGCTTGACATATTTTGCTGCGAAAGGCAGTTCATTAGCGTCAGATCGTTTGTGGCCGCCAGGACCGGGGGATGCTCTGGTTGCTCTTCACCAGCAGGCTCCCCGCGACTAGGCGCCTTGTAGGTGAGCGTACGGCCACGGCCTCCCACTGCAAGGAGTTCGAGGAATGCCTCAAGATCCCCGTTCCCGACAGCGACGTGGAAGACGAGGCCTTGCTTTATCTTGTCTCTTCTAGGTACCGTAGGGGGGGTCTAGGGTTATAGGGTTTTCGGGTTTAGGGCTTTGTCCAGGCCTGAAGAGCAGAGCAGCCACACTATATATGGGGTATATATCAGGTATACAGCTAAAAAACCCCCAAGTACAGGGCTTAGGTATAAGCTTTAATCATGCTTTAATCCCCTGACCAGGACGAGGCACCGCCCGACTCACTGGCCCCATGTCTGCGATGACCACACCAGGGGTGGCAGGGGAGGGGGGGCTTTAGGGTGTTGAAAAAGGGTTCTTTGGGGTTTGGGGTTGAGGGCTTAGGAGTTTATAGGGTTTAGGAGTTTAGGGTTTAGGAGTTTGGGGTTTAGGGTTTGGGAGGTTGTAGGGTTTAAGGTCTCGGAGTCTAGGGTTTAGGTTTTTTGGGGCCAGGCTTTGCATGCGTCGCGTGCGGCGCGTGCTGTTTAAGGGAATGGCATCAACATATTATGTCTTTGTGATGTGCCTTTACGCGGGGTGATGTGTCTTCGCTCTGAACCGCGGTCGTTGGGGAGATGTGACTTCGCACGCAAAGACTTTAACCTCGCCACCGAGTACAACCTAGATCAAGCTAGATCGGGCTCAGGATTCAAAAAGGCTTCAGGGCCGCGAAATTTCAGAAACCCGTGGAAGCCCGGCGTGAGGTCCTGAGGAGCCATCTGCTCTTCTTGCGGAGTGCCCAGGCCTGCCCGCGAAGAGAGAAGTTTTCGGATTGAGGGTTTAGGGGCTTAGTGGTGTACGGTTGAAGGGTTGAGGGTGGCTTTTCCCACTCCTGTCGAAATTGTGTGTTGTTTTTTCCTTTGTGTTCTTGTTGCAGGGAAGGGGCTGGTTGTGGGTTCGGGCTTTGGGGCTTTGGGCTCCTTGATCCTTCCTTCCTCCACCTGGCAGGAGAGACTGTCATTCTCCTTGCTGGCAGAGGCGAAACGTCAGCTAGCGTTTAGGACGAGGGTTGCGGGTTCAGGGTCGGGGTTTAGGCTAGGGTTTGGGGTCTGCCAGTTTCATGTAGCCTTATAAACCCTGAACCCCGAAACCCTGAATACTGCAATCCTCGAAAACAACGTGAGAGCCCGAAAGCCCTAAAACCTCAACCCTGAACCCTGAAATCAGATTTGGCGCGGCAAACCCTAAACCCGAAAATAAGCACATGGCGAGGGGTTGGGGTTTGCCACACCTTCCAACATCAAAGGCGGCTGGGCTTCGCAGCCCCCAAAATCCCTAAATGACCTTTTGCCCCCGCGTAGACCCTCGAGAGCATCTCCATTTTGACGCTTAGGGCTTGCCATGCCAAATCTTCTTTCGGGGTTCAGGGTTGCGACGCCGCGCCTCCTTTCGGGGTTTGGGGTTGAGGGTTTGGGGTTTTCGGCCTCTCACGGTGCTTTTGGGGCTTTTGGGCTTTTGGGGTTTAGGTTTATGGGGTTTGCCAGTAGGGGTTGGCCGTTTCGGATTCAGGGATTCGGGCTTAAGCAGGTTTTTTGGTTTGGGGTTTTCCTTATTTTAAGGTTTAGGCTTTGCCAGCCAAAAATACGTGGTTTCGGCCAGGCCAATTACCTCTTTGAGGTCGGCCAAACCACGGCAGCCCAGCGCCTGCGGAGGCTCTCCCAAGTGCCATCCTCGGGGTTTGCAGTCTTGTGTCATCCATGAGGTTCTGCAGCTATCTAACCGTTCATCTTATCATTGGGCTGCTGCTGCGTCTTGCGCCTGAAAATCCACGAAACTTTAAGCAACCTATAACCAACGAAGCTCACCAAAGCCACTATACCTCAAACCCTAAACCCAAAGCTTAATAGGATCCCTACACTCCGCCCCTCCCAAGGTTCCCCTTCAGCTAGGTTTAGGCGGAAGATTTGGGCCACATATCGGTGGGGAAAATTTTAGGCGGGTTTTGGGCGAAAGTTGGGCGAGTTTTGATTTTAACTTCAGCTAGCTCTAAGCCAAACCACGCCCTCCAAGTGCACCTCTAAGCCAAAACCCCCCTGCAAGCTTGCTTCATATCGGATATTATCCTGCCTCATGCACTTAGGGCCTTTTTCCCTTAAATCCTAAGTAAACCGAAATGACCCTAAGTATCTCTTAATCTCCCTAGAGAGCCCTAAGTACATAATCACCCTTCATAGAAAAAGAACCCAAAACTCTCAACACCTTCTTCTGCCTTTTAGAAAACAAAAAGCCCCAGAAACTCGGCGAAATTTGCAACTGAGGATGCCAAGTGCCTCTGAATTTTGCTGGCCTCGGGGTTGGGGGGGGGGAGGGGTGGCTAACACCTGAACCCTAAATCCTTCAACCCTAGGTTCCACAACAGAAGAAGTAGTGGATGTTCTGATTCTGGTCCGAGTTGTGCTCAAGACCCCTTAAGATGAAGGAATGCACCCTGGTTCATGAGGAACCTCCCCCCGCCAGAAGCAGTTCAGGGTAGTTTGGGCTTCAGGGTGTTAGGAGGTTGCCTGGAACCCTCATTGTCTTTTTGGGTTCGGGTCGCTTCCTTGCGTATGCCTATGGGTTTAGGGAGGCTTCTGGAGCGCTCCGACAAAACCCAAATCCCCGAACCCCCAGTTATTTGTTTACTGGGAGCCTAGCTTCACTGGGTCTGCTGACCACGCCGCCTTTCAGCCCAGCATCCCTTATACTAAAGACCCTAAACCCCTAAACCCTAAACCTTGACCCCTAAACCTACCAGGAGACCCTTCGACAAGCAACTGCGACGATGGTGAGTTGGACGCGACGCCGCTACCAGACGCGAGTGCTCTCGACCGTGCTAAAACCAGCCTGATGGTGTGCAGCTTTTGCCGCTGCTTCTTTGACCGCCTCCCCGGCTTTGTCACCATTCTCAAGGGTCCCAATCTGTAGTTATAGTAGCAGTTGCAAACAGTTCATGGAGCCTCCGTGACCCCTCCGCGACCCGGGTTTAGTGGAAAGGGCTTGGGCTTTAGGGCTTCTGGGTTTTAGGGTGTTAAGGCTCAGGGCTGTAGGGGTGTTAGGCTTTCATTCGGGTTTAGGGTGTAGGGGGCAAGGTTTCTCACGTGGCCTCTTAACACCGAAACCCTGATCCCCCAACTCCTAACCCACCGCCCACCCACCCTCAAAATCAAAAAAGCAGACTTGGCGGCTGAATTTGGAAGACGTGGGTGCTTGCGCTGAGGATTCAGGGCGTGTATTCGCAACAGGGCTTCCTTTTCAGAGTTAGGGTTCGGGGTTGGTGGGTTGGAGTTTACTTCCGGTTCAAGGGGTTTGCAGTTCCAGGTCTGAGGTTTTGACGGTTGAAGGGCTTGAGGGTTTCCGGGTACTCCGCTGAGAGCAGCAGTTCAGCTAGCTGTGCCAGGAAGAGAGCCGCATGCCCTGCCTACCTCGGCCAGGAAACCTCATTCGGATGTCAGGGTTTAGGGTTTAGGTTTAGATCCCTAACCCTTCAAAACCGCAAGGTCTCAGGGTTTGGAGGGCTTGGAAAGCTTCGTGCTTCGGACTTAAGGAATTTTGGCCTGTTGTTTTGGCTTCCGGGCTTAGAGGTTTTAGTGTCTACAGGAGGGTTGAGGGTTCAGAGTTTCAGGGTTTTAGGAGAGTTTAGTCAACAAGGGCCATGTGGCCGTAAAGTTTCGGTGTCATGCGCGGTGTAGATGAGAGTATTCCAACGTTTGCAATCCAAAAATAAACCCTAAACCCTAAACCCTAAACCCCAAGCAGCATGTTGGTCTTCCACACCCCGATTGCTGCTGTCATGCTTTGGATCGAGAACCGCCTGAAAGAAGGCGCCTGAGAGCTGTTGGGGAAAGTCAACTCTTAGGGGCTGTTTTAGGGTGTTGGGTTTTGGGTTTAGGGTTGACACATCTTAGTTGTCCGACTGAGATAAGCTGTCGTCAAACAGGATTTGTTACTTCGGTTCTCTTGCCCAGCGCTTTGCGCGAGCGTCGCCTGGGGCAAGCCATGTCGTACATATCCAGGATCACTGCAGCGGGCCAGAGGACCGGTGCGAGAATTCATGCAGATTTTGGTGTGTAATGTTAACGCTACTCCACCCGCCTCGGCCCCAAACCGGAGATTCGCGGGTGTGAAGGGCCTCTTAGGCTTCCGGGGCTTTGAGAGGCCCTGTGCAATCATGCTCTTTCGGGGGTGCTGTTGTAGGCGCGCGAAATGCGAAAGTGGGTAAGACAAGGAGCGGTTGTTGAGGGTGGGGTGGAGTTGGGGGTGATCTGTGCAAACCCCTAACCCTGTGAACCCCAACTCTGAACACGTAAACCCTTTTACCTGCTTCGAGTACCGTGGCTATGACTGTCGCGATGTAGCTGTAGGGTTTAGGATAGACGCCTCCCAGGTCAGCTCTGGATCACACGCCACTATCCCGAACACCGAACAAAACAATCTCTTCAACGTCTCCAAAGCCTGGTTGCCTCAAAGATTGGGACAGCACAGAGTTTTTTCACGACTGGAACCCAACAGATTGTGGCAGTACAGCTTGTTGGACGCCGAAGTTTTTTGTTATAGCGTAGAACGCAAAACCCAATTGGCGCCCCCCCCCCCCCCCCAGAAAATACAATTCTCGCTTCATCCTTAATCCCCGGGGGGGGGCGAGGGGGGGGGGGGGCTTGGCATTTATGGAGTGGCGCCCTGGAATGGGCTTAGCGGGCTTATGAGGGCTTGCATAAGATTCTTAATGCGCCACGCTTCTTGTGTAGCCCCCAGCCCTAAATAACTGAAAAAGCGTCCTAAAGAGTGTTCGGGGGTCGCTAAATAACCAGAAAGAACTGAATGCTTTTCACCTCCAGTGTCCCGAATACCCTCTAGCCCCTATGCCCTAAATCCCATGCCTAAACTCTAAACCCTAAACCCTAAACCCGAAACCCTAAACCCTAAACCCTAAACCCTAAACCCTAAACCCTAAACCCTAAATCCTAAACCCTAAACCCTAAACCCTAAACCCTAAACCCTAAACCCTAAACCCTAAACCCTAAACCCTAAACCCTAAACCCTAGCCAAAGCCCCCTAAACCGTTGCAGGCTTCATGGCCCCTCTGCCCGCGCAGTGCGCTCTGCCAGTGACCACAGGGGGCTCGCCACCGCCGCCCCCGCTGCCATCGTGGGGGTGTCTTGGAAAAGCTAGCCCTGGGAACTACATGAGCCCTAACATTGGGGGAGCTTCAGGGCTAGGGTTTAGGGTCTAGGGTTTCGGGGTCACAAACCCTATGCCTATACTACAAAAATTTCGATTAAGGTAAAATGAACCATAAGCCTGTTTAGGGTTCCCTTGGTCCCCGAGGATGGTTCAGGGTTGAGGGTTTCGGGTTAGGGGTTACTTCATCCGTGTTCGCCTTTGCCACAGTAGCCCAACACCCAAACCCCTTCCACCCTACAACCTCCAAACTTCAGTATCTGTGCAAACCCTAACCCTCTGAACCATAACCCTGAACCCGCAAACCCGTTTGCCTGCCTCAAGTGCCGTGGCTACGACCGTCGCAGCCAGGAATGTAGCTCTAGGGGTTGTAGGATAGGTCAGCTCTGCATCACACGCCACTATCCCGAACACCACCCCCCCCACCCCCCCCCACCCCCCCCCCCCACCCCCCCCCCACCCCCCCCCCCAACCCACCCCCCACCCCCCCCCCCCCACCCCCCCCCCCACACCCCCCCCACCCCCCCCCCAACACCCCCACCCCCCCACGAACACGACAATCTCGTCAACGTGGTTGCCTACAGCGTTTTTGCACGACTGGAACCCAAAAGATTATGGCAGTACAGCTTGTTGGACGCCGAAGTTTTTTGTTATAGCGTAGAACGCAATAACCCAATTGGCGCCCCCCCCCCCCCCCCAAAAAATACAGTTCTCGTTTCATCCTTAATTTCTGGGGGGGGGGGGGGGGGCTTGGCATTTATGGAATGGCGCCTTGGAATCTTAATGGGCCACGCTTCTTGTGTAGCCCCCAGCCCTAAATAACTGAGAAAGCGTCCTGGTCCTGAAGAGTGTTCGGGGTCGCTAAATAACCAGAAAGAACTGAATGTTGTTCACCCTCACTGTCCCGAATACCCCCTAGACCCTATGCCCTATGCCCTAAATCCTCAACCCGAAAGCCTAGACCCTAAACCCTAAACAACCCTAAGCCCAAACCCTAAACCGTTGCAGGCTACCCGGCCCCTCCGCCCGCGCAGTGCGGTCTGCCAGTGACCACAGGGGGCCTGCCACCGCCGCCCCCGGCTGCTACAGTCGGGGTGTCTTGGAAAAACTAGCCCTGGGAACCACATGAGCCCTGAAATTGGGGGAGGTTCAGGGTTAGGGTTTAGGGTTTAGGGTTTAGGGTTTAGGGTTTAGGGTTTAGGGTTTAGGGTTTAGGGTTTAGGGTTTCGGGGTTATATACCTTATACGACAAAAATTCTGATTAAAGTATTATGAACCATAAGGCAGAGGCAGAGGCAGAGGCAGAGGCAGAGGCAGAGACAGAGAGGGGGAGAGAGGGAGAGAGGGACCCGAGGTTCCCCATCCCCTAGATGTGCTTGCCGACGCTGCTCATGAAACTTGGCGGCAAGAACTTGGTTAGGGTTTAGGGTTCAGGGTCTACTTGGGACCCTATTTACCTACGGTTTTGTAGTCAGTAGTTGGTATAACCCGTAAAACCTGTAGGTAAGTCGGGTCCCAGGTAGGGTTTAGGGTTGATTATTTAGGGTTTGGAGAGTCTGGGGTTTCCTAGTTCCAGAGAGCTAGATTTTGGGTTTCGATCTATATAGAGGCCGAGGGTTAGGTTAATTTAAGGCCTTAGGGTTTGGGCTGTTCAAGCGTTTAGGGTTCAGGGTTGGGCTTCTGGGTTGAGGGTTCAGGTTTCAGGGCGCTCGTCTTTCGAGGCTCTAGGCCTCTGGCGCAGACTTAAGGGTTCAGGGCTTGGGTTTAAGGCCAGAGTTCAGGGTTCGGGGCTTTCTGTTGAAGTGTTAGGGCTTAACCTTCAGGGTTAAAGGTTCAGGGATTTAGGCTTTAAGCGTTAGGGTTTCGGGTGCCGTCTGGGATTTAGCCTTTAGGGTGGAAGGTTTGGGGCTGCTTTGAGGTTTCAGGCATTTCAAGCGATTGCTCGTAGGTCTCGGGCGGGAAAGTGGCTGAAATCCCTCAACCTTCAGGATCTGGCAATGATTAACTTGGGCTTAGGGTTTAGGGTTTAGGGTTTAGGGTTTAGGGTTTAGGGTTTAGGGTTTAGGGTTTAGGGTTTAGGGTTTAGGGTTTAGGGTTCGTCGTTGCAATGCCGCAATGCTCCCGAATTGGACGGCTCGTGGTCCCAGTGTCGCTCCCCGACTCCCAAGCTTTGCACGCGAATTCCCATTGTCCAGGCTTAGGGTTGCCAATAAGGGCCCTTTTCATAGGGTTTGGTTTAGAGGTTCAGAACAGGCGACAGGGTTTAGGACCATCGGATTCAGGGTACCCGGACCATAATTCTAGTAAACGGTTCTGGGGTTTCAGGTACACAGGGAGGCGCAGGGTTTGTGGCTTTCGTATTCAGATCAAGGCTTATAGTTTGTAGGGCTGAATTATAGGGCTTATGGGCGTGTAACGCTTACAAGATGTAGAGTTCACGGCTAATGTGGCTTAGGCTTTGACCTAATTTGCCAGCAAATAAAACCCTGAATGCACTTGCATTCTGGGCCCGAAGCCCTACAACGGCAAGCTTTAAGAAGAACCACTTCCCTCAACCCTAGACCCTAAACCCAAAAACCCTAAAACACACTTGGTGACCTCCCAGACTTCC